TGATATGAGGCCGAGGGCCTGAGATACTTTATATGCCACGAGGTGGCTTGAGTGATGTGAGGTTGAGTGCCGAGTGATGATGCCACGAGGTGGCTTGATATAGCACTTGGGCCGTAAGGGGGCCCTCCGGAGTCTGCACACCCACAGTGAGCGCGGGTACCCATTGTTCTGAGTGATTGATGCTATGCTCGAGGGGCTGATATGAGTGATTGTGAGGTAGCCCGAGGGGATGATACTATTCCGAGAGTGAGCCCGAGGGGCTGAGACTGTACTGAGAGTGAGCCTGAGGGGCTAATACTATGCTAAGCGATTGATACTGTGCCCGAGGGGCGGATTTCTACTTGTTATTTACATGTTAAATTACCTGTTTTACTTGTTTTAAAAGGGAATATCATTTGATTCTTCACTGATTTATTAAGTGAATTTACTGCTTAATATGAAATTGCTTTGTGTCTTTACGTGTTTTCATACTTTCAGCCATTATTTATAATTGTTACTCACTGAGTCGGAGTACTCACATTACTCCCTGCACCATGTGTACAGATTCAGGCATCGCAGAGTCCGCTCCTGAGTGCTGATTTCTCCCAGTCCAGGCAGTGATTTGGAGACTACGAGGTAGCTGTTGGCGTTCGCAACCCCGTGCCTCCCTTATCCTATCATTTCCATGTTTTTTTTTTCTGAACTATTATATCGGATTTTGTGTTCAGTAGACTTGTATCCGGACTTCTTAGTTGCTCATGACTTGTGACACCCTGGTTTGGGCTGTGTCGGGATGGTTCCTGCTGTTGTTAATGTTAAAATTCCGCAATTTATGAGTGTTATATTATATGTTATTGGCTGGCCTTGTCTTCACGAGAGGCGTCATCACGACCGGGTTCGGGGATTGGGTCGTGACAGGCTTTCATGGTAGTCAGCATGGTGGCTCACCAATGTTGTACCCTTGAACTTTCATGGTAGTCAACATAGTGGCTCACTAGTTGCTGCATCCCCGAGCTTTCATAGTAGTCAGCATGGTAGCTCACCAGCTGCTGCACCCCCGAGCTTTAATAGTAGTCAACATGGTGGCTCACCAGCTGCTGCATCCCCGAGCTTTCATGGTAGTCAGCACGATGGTTCGTATTTTGTTAATCCATAATCTTTCACTCCATCATTATTATCCATCCCAACATATCTAGGTTGGATATTGGAGGCTCTCGCCCAGTTACATCTAGTGGTACTTTTAGACCTTCTAGTAGATGCAGGTAAAATCTTGGAGGGGATGTACAATATGATAGTTATAATCGGTTAATAATCGTCCCCTACGAGGATGGGTAAGTAATTCTTATATTTTTAAAGTTTTGAATGTACTTTTAGATATGTTAAAATTAAGAAATATTTATTTATAATTAAAACTTTTGAAATTTTAAGATGTTTATTAATTATATATGTTAACTTTAATGCAGGTTTTTGCCATCCTTTCAGTCTACACATTTGGTTGTGGATTCTATGAAGCCATTTTATCATGAGTCATAAAATTCTTGGAGACAGATATCGTATAACATCAGAGAGCACATGTGGAATCAATTTAGGGTAAAAATTGATTAAATTTATTTAATAATTATCGTCTTCATCTAATGTTACTTTTTTATATTGTAGACAAAATGTACATGGCATCCTCAGCATCAAAATGAAATAAATGCTATTTTCGAGAAGAAGGCTGCTGAGCGGATTAAAGATACCACGTTCGCTGCTTGGAATGCTAGTAAAATGCCGGAATGGTTAAGAGAAGATGTTTGGAAGAAACTTCTTGCGAAATGGAATATCGATGAATGGAAGAAGAAGACTGAACAAGCAAAGGCAAACTGCACCTCCAGTAAAGGTGGCTCGTTGCACACAGGAGGTTCGATTAATTTTACGGCCCATAAACTAAGATTGGTAATTACTTATAAAAAAATTCTTAATTTTATATGTAGAATTTTACGATTGTAACGTATAACTCATACTTTTTCTTAAGGAAAAGGAAAGAGGGCAAGATATGAGTCATGATGAGGTCTTCGAGGAGAAGCATAAGAAAAAGAATAAGGATGGTACAAGAGAACACTGGGTGGAGACGCGTGCGTCGAACACATATGTTAAATACTAACTTCATAATTATTTATGATTTATTAATATTAGTTTGTTTACATAATAGTTATATTTTCATTTCAGGAAGATTATCATAAAAGGGTGGGAAAATGGCAACAAACTCAACCTCCTTCAACTCAACCAACACCTGATGATACGAATTCATTGTGGACAGAGGCATCAAGTGGAGTAAACAAAGGCAGAGTCTACGGACTTGGAGTACGCCGACCTATAGGTCATCCAAACCCACTCTTAGCGAATTCTTCTTCTTCGCAAAATCAAGAACAAATGGAAGATATGAGAAAAGAAATTTGTGATTTGAAGCAACAATTGGACTTACAATTCGGAATATTTGTTAAGATGCAGAAATTCATGAGAAAACATGGGCATAATCTATGTGATGATGAGGATGAACAAACTGAATCTGATTTTGTAGTAGTTTAGGTGTATGGTATTGGTTGATGGGTAAACTTGATTGTGAGAGGCAAGTTTATGTTTTGTTTTCAAGCTTGAATTTGGGCTACTATTTGGATGTTTTTATGCCCAAAATATTTAGGTTTAATAGATTTGTTGGTTTAGATTGTGTTAATGATTGGGTTTGTTGGTTTAGATGTTATATTTGTTGATACTTGTTGATTGGTTGTTGGCGTTATAGTATTGTAACTGTTTGACAGGTGGTATTCCAACTGATTTCCGACGGAAACAATCGGACAGTTGCCCAATTTTTTTCAAAAAAAACACCAAAATTTCCGACCAATTTAGTCGAAAATGATTTTAAAAAATAATTATTTTTAAACAGTTTTCGACGAATTCCATCGAAAATTTAAAGAAATTTTAATTTTTAATTATTAATTTCCAACTAAATCGGTCTGTAAATATTTATTTTTATTATTTAATTTTAAATAAATATTTATTGTTATTTAAATTATTACGACTTATTTGGTCGGAAATTTGAAAATAATTTGGCTGTCTGACCTTTTGAACATTTCGACTACTTTGGTCGGAAATCACCGATGAATTCGGTCAGAAATTATTTTCCGGCCAACTGTTTTCTGAACGACCAATTTTGGTCGGAAAGTAGTCGGAAATCCATAATTTTCGACTAATTCGCGACCGTTTTAACGGTCGAAATTCAACCATTTTCTAGTAGTGGAAGAAGGGAGACCACCTATGCGTGTTGAATGCAAGAAAAACAAGCTGCAATGGAGGAATCATCTGTAGGAAATAGGGATTGGGGCGGCAGATGAGGCGGTAAGGAATGGATTTGCTTTTTCTTTTTTAAAATCTGGTAATATTATATTTATATAGGTTGGGGCCAAAGTGTAATAACTGAAACTTTAGGGATAAAGACTCAAATTTCCCCCTTCATTTTATAATCTCACTTAACCATTAATTAAGCATGAAGGTCAATCATACTTCCTACTTGCTCTGATGGTAAGCAACCCCCACTTCCAACCGAAAGGTTGTGAGTTTGAGTCTCCCCAAGAACAAGGTGGGAAGTTCTTGGAAGGAAGGATGCCGGGGGTCTATTTGGAAACAGCCTCTCTACCCCAGGGTAGGGGTAAGGTCTGCGTACACACTACCCTCCCCAGACCCAACTATGTAGGATTATATTGGGTTGTTGTTGTTGTTGTTGTTGCGGAAGGTCAATCCTACAATAATTAAAACTTGAAGGTCACTTGACCAATTTAAATTTGAAAAGAGGTCACCTTGCCAACTACTCGACTTACATGGCGCAAGATAGCAATAGCAAAAACTAATCTAAAATTGTTTCTCTTCTAGTAACACTTGAATGGAACATGTCCCGTGTCAGATCGATATATCAACTTCTAATTCTTGACTAAAATGCAACTCATAAGAGTCAGGCGACAAGCTACTAAATAACTTCTTCTTTTTGTTACAAGGGGATCTGAGAAGGAGACAGAAAATGAATTAGTATGAATCAAATTCACAACTATTATATGGTAAATTTTCACTGCTACTACTACATTATAAACTTTGACGACAATTATTAAAATTATCTTTGCTATTGGACATGAGACGAGTTTAACCCAAAAAAGAAAGAAAAAAAAAAGAAGAGATGAGTAAAAGGGAAAATGAAATGAAAATTGAACTTGACCACATGAAAGTTGAATAGTTGGTGGAGATTGGTTTGAGTGGAAGCTGAAGACGGACGCCTAAGAAAATTCGCCCCAACGTATAAGACCCGCTGAATTAGTCTTTCTCTTTGCTACCAAGAAGTTTCTTATCTTCTTTTTTTCTCACCCAAAGTTCGGTATTTGTATTAGGGTTCTCACTAATCCGGATCCGTACTGTATAAAGCATATTAAAAAAAAAAATATTTGTCTACCAGATTATTTTTGGTCCAATACTTGAATTAAGATTTAAGAGCGACAGGAATATATTTATCTCACCACAACCTTTGATGATCGAACAAGTTTCTTATCACTTGCTAGTTTTTCAAAGTCTATTCCCCAGATTCTTTTTATGTGATCAATACTTGTTTAGCCTCTAATATTCTTTTGTTATTTCGTTGTTACTACAGAAGACAATGACGTTAAAACCAAACTTCAAGTAATTGTTGTCCGTTATAATAATGTATGTAATTGGTCTCACTCATAAGTTTAATCGGGCATTTCTCAACGACGGCAGCTATTTCGCCCCACTCTTCTATATTGCTGTATTTATAGTAAACGAGCGAGGGCCACAGACCATAGTTTTAAAGGTTTTAAATTAGCTGATACTCTCATTGCAAAATTATTATTCTCTTTCTTAGTTATTGGTGAATGGTGGTGATACACTATCTCTTTAAATTTAGGATTGTCATTATTTAAGGAAATGTTAAACTTTGTAACAAATAAATGTATCTTCTATATCGTATAAAATGAAAATTATTAAAAATTATAACTAAGATGCTACATAAGATAAAAATTGCCAAATAATTAAACTCTATCACGATCATTTGTTCATCTTCTATATCCGTATGTCTATGGATAAACATCAAATTTCAATCCAATTAGGGGTAAGAAATGTTAAAAAATAGGGGCTAAACGGGGATAAAAATGCAGAGAAATGGAAAAGTTCGTGTTGATGATTTGGTGGTGCTTATTATCACTTTAATCTTTGTGAACTTAATTACTATAACTTTTAGTGCCGTATTGAAGAATTTTTGGCAATTTTTAGTTACCAGCTTTTAGTTTTATGACCTTGTTGAAGTAGATTTTAGCGATGACCATTGGTGAAATCAATCCAAGTTGTGAAATTATTTGGAATTCCTTTTTTCCCCTTTTCAAGGCCAGTAAAATGCGACAACCCTTTGCTTGTCAAAACTATAATCAATCGATAGTAATTTCGTTTCATCATTCATATATACCAGCGGTAACAACCAAATACGCCACAGGCACAAGAGAGAAAATTTGAAAAGTAGGACATTCATTTGTAGAAGTGGTCTCCGTTGGTGCATGTGTAGACATCACAATAAATAGATGGATAAAGAACCCGGTGTTCAGTATCCACACAGGAACCCGTCTAATCACTTAAGGCCCACTAAAGGGGAAAGCTCTCCCTACTAGTATCTTTTCTCCGTTTAAGAGTGAAGCGATTCTATCAGCCCACCACAATCCTTGGTAGCCGGTCAAAAGTTGAAGTCAAGTAATTGTATTGAATAGCTTGTCCTATAATAATAAGGAAAAATCTCACACATACGTGTTGACTTGACCAGTTGACCTATATGAGAGAGAGGGGGAGAGCAGTTTTGCCGATATAGATATCCACAACAATTTCCTATCATATATTAATCTCTTCTCCTTCATTTCCATAGAACAAATTAATCCTTCATTTCCATATATCCTCTGTATAGTACTATCCATGGATAGAGAACAAGAAGAGATGCAATTCTTAGGCCTCTTTGATATCTACATAGAAGCCTACAAACTTATCTACAGATGGAGGAAAATATTCAGCCAAATCACCCTATCTTTGATCCTTCCTATGTGCTTCATCATCTTAGCTCACATGGAAATTTACCATCTTTTCTTCTCTGACCTTAAACACTCTGAGTTTCAGCTCCTACACACTCACACCGGCACGGCGAAATACAACAAGATCTCTGATCACATAAACTCAGAGCTAGCCTCTCTATGGCTTTTCATAATTGTCTACATCACTTTCCTCATCATCTTCTCCCTTCTTTCAACCTCTGCTGTGGTTTACACAATCGCATGCATATACACTTCACGTGAAGTCAATTTCATGAAAGTTATGAGTGTTCTGCCTAAAGTTTGGAAGAGAGTTATGGTCACTTTCTTGTGTGCTTTTGTTTGTTTCTTCATCTACAACCTTGTTGCCTTCTTTGCCCTAGTTATAGTGTCAATATGGGCTTTCGGCATGCAGGGAGAAAATGATGGTCTTGTTAAGTTTGTTCTCGTGATCATGGCGATTGTTTATGTCCTTGGATCCGTGTACCTTTCAGTTATATGGCATTTAGCTAGTGTAGTAACTGTGTTGGAGGATTCATATGGGGTGAAAGCCATGCTTAAAAGCAAGGAATTGTTAAAGGGGAAGATGACAATAGCCTTAGTTTTCTTTTTCAAGTTCAATCTTTCACTTGGTATCCTAAACTTTATTTTCAAGAAGTTTGTGGTACATGGACATGGGAAGCATATGCATCTAGGGATGTTGTATAGGACAGGATTTGGGTTGCTTTGTCTTCTTATGATGTTCAAGTTGGTGTTACTTGGTTTGGTGATACAAACAATTATTTACTTTGTTTGCAAGTCCTATCACCATGAGAACATTGACAAATCTGCACTTTCTGATCATCTTGAAGTTTATTTGGGTGAGTATGAACCTTTGAAGTCCAAAGATGTTCAAATGGAGGGTTATGAAGTTTAAATTAATTTGACTTGTATCTTCTGGTATATGTATTAGAGTTCATCTTCTGTTCCTTCA